TTAGGGTGTTCTTATTTTCTTATGTGAATATCATTTTATCGAAAGATCCATTTGACATGAAGTCATATACAAGAGCTTGCTTTGATCCCTCCACACAAAAACCAACAAGTTTTGCCACATTAGCATGATAAATTCTCTGTTGGATTAAAATCCATAATTATGGGCACATATTTATAATGTATATTGTAATCATAAAACATGACATAAATTAAGTGACCAATTATATTATAAAGTCATAAGGTATTAGAAGTGTCATGAAAATAAAAGTGTAGTTACCATTTAAGTTGTATTTATAACTTGATGAGGGACAAAGTTATAAGTACAAATAATAACTTTTCTTAAATCATCTTATATTAAGGGGTTATAGTCCCCAAGAAATAGACACTCTTGTATTTACCCTTGTCCCCGTCAAAGAGTTTATACTTAAGGGAACTCTATATTCTTAGAATATCACAATCAAAGAAAGATTCAAGGATAAGAGTTTATACCATTTAATGTCTATAAAGTATAAGGGTCAAGGAAATGTGAGGGAGTACATTATGGATATGTTTCATATTGTTTCAAGACTTAAGACACTTAAGATCAAATTCTTCTGAAGAATTACTTGTTCTTGTGATTTCAGTATCGTTTCCTATAGAGTTTATTTAACTCAAAGGGTGAAATGAACTCTAAATGAGCTCATTTTTCATTGTGTGCAAGTGGAAGAAATGTTGAAGCATAATAAGTTTGAAAGTATTCACTTGAAAAGTGTATATAAAGATAAGGGGAAAAAATAAAATCAGAGTGTAATTGTTAAGGGTCTAACTTAAAAGAGACAATAATATATTATAAAGGATTGTTCTCTTTTGTAATAAGTTAGGACATATGGGGAGAAATTAAATTCTAAAACAATAAGCAACTACTTTGGTTATTTTACGTGATTTAAGGGTTATAAGTATTATGATCTCATAATTAGGAATATTTTTAAGATGAGAACTATAATATTAATTTTGAGGATGTTGAGTTTGGATGGAGAAATAAGGTTTGAGAAATTGGATTATAACTCAATTCATATTATCACTTTTAATGATATCAATGCGTTTATTAATGTCATTTATCAAGAAGTGAATCTAGAATCTCAATAAGGTTATTTTGAACAACTCTATTTAAGATGAGAAATCATTTCAGAAGAGCAAACTCAAACTCAACAACCTTAGAGAACAAGTGTCATTAAGAAGATACACGAGATGAGAGAACTAATATTTAGATTATTATGTTATATTTCTCCAAGAAACAAGGATGACTGTGGAATGATGGAGGATGATCTACTCAACTTTCATCATGTCATAAAAGTTTTGACTCTCATAAGTGGAATAATATCAAAGGAAGAAGAGTATAAGTTCTAGAACTTGTCTCATTACCTGAAGGTGCAAAATTAATTAGTTGCAAATTGATATTTAAAACCAAAATAGATGCAAAAGGTGATGTTGACAGGTATAAGTCATGTCTTGTATCTAAAGGATATACTCATGAAAAAGGTTAATTTTATAGAAATTTTATCTTTGGTCTCATTGAAAGACTCTTTCAGGATAATCATGATACTTATTGCTCATATTTGATCTTATGTTATATAAAATGGATTTCAAAATTGTGTTTCTCAATAGTAACATTGATGAAATATTTTATACAATGTAGTTAAAAAATTGTGTCTAATGATACAAAATTAATGACATGCAAATTAAAGAAATTCATTTATGAGTTTAAGTATGACTCTCGTTAATTGTATAAAAAATTACACCAAGTGATTATCTCGTTTGGTTTTGAGATTAATTTGGTTGACAACTGTATATACTATAAGTTCAGTGGGAGTAAACCAAATTATACCCCTTATTACTAAAAGAAACAAGTTTAGTCTTATCAGTGCCCTAAGAATGATTTTGAAACTAAGGAAATTCAGAAAAGTTCCTTATGCTTCAAAATAAATAAATAATTTAGTGTATACTCAAGTTTATACGCATTCATATATAGCGTATGATTGTAGGCTACTAAGCAAAATATTTAAGAAATTTGGGTATGGATCGTTGGATAGCAGCCAAATTGATTCATACAATACATTTAAGAACAAAAATGTTACATGCTCATATACTAGAGTCTATTAAGTAAGAGATCATCAAGTTTATATACTCCGATTTATTGAAATATGGATGCAAAATTTTGTCACATGAACTGCTAAATTATGGATTGATAAAAAAAGACCACTTGAGTTATTTTGTGACAACTAAGTTACAGTCATTTATTTCATATATATAGTAGAAACACCTTAAAGTCTAATCACTTAGACGATATGTTTCTAGTTGTTAAAGAAAATCCAAAGTGGTTATGTGTTTATAAAGCATATTGGTACAAACTCATAATTATGCGCTTACTAAGGAACTGTCACCTTAGGTCTTTCATGAGCACAATACTCATGTGGGTGTAATATCATTTAAGGATATTCAGTTTTAGTGGGAGTTTGTAATTTAAATGTTCGTTTGTTATAGACACAATTTCAGTTACTTCAATTTGAGGATATTTATGTTAAAGTTATTTTCTGCAGAAATAAAATTTGTTTTATCAACACTCAGGTTTTGGTAAAATTTGATCTCACTAATGTTTAAAGAGAAACAGTTGGAAATAGACACGTGCGGTTCACATTGCATGTAATTTTCATGCTACGCTCCATGATTGATATATGTCATTTGAATGTGTTTGTTTACGTGACCATTGATGGGTCTAGTCATGATAGATATGACAAAGGCCGCTTTGATCCTATATGGATATAGTTGATATACAAGATTGTTATAGAATACCTATTGTATGATAACAAGTTTTGAGCTCATAAGATTATACATTTATCAGGAAACATATGTTGCCCAAGTAGGAGATTGTTGGATTAAAATCCATAATTATGGGCACATATTTATAATATATATTGTTATCATAAAATATGACATAAATTAAGTGACCAATTATGTTATAAAGTCATAAGGCGTTAGAAGTGTCGTGGAAATAAAAGTGTAGATACCATTAAAGTTGTATTTATAACTTAATGAGGGGCAGAATTATAAGTGCAAACAATAAAAAATTTTAAATCAACTATATAAGGGGGTTATGGTCCCCAAGAAATAGACACTCCTGTGTTTACCCTTGTCCCCGTCAGAGAGCTTATACTTAATGAAACTCTATCTTCTTGGAAGATCACAACCAAAGAAAGATTCAATGATTTTAACCTATCAATTAATTCAGGTACCCTTCCACTAATCTAGTATTTATTTTCTTTGATTGTTTAGCATAATTAGATCCCAATTATTTTCATATTTAATATGATTTAGTTCTAACATTCTCCCAATAAAGGCAACTTCATTTATGAAATCATGGCCATTACCCTTTGATTTGCCAAGCAATTTTACGGCTACATGATGTCCACTGCGAAGCTTTCCTTTAAACACCAAGCCATAGCCCCCTTCACCTAATTTCTCTTTGAAATTTCTGGTCATTTTTCTGATTTGTTTAAAAGAGTATCTGATTGGTGAGAGATTATGGTTTTGAAGAAACTCTTCAATCTTATCGTCCGCAGATAAATGTTTTCTTCTCCATTCGTAGATGACAAGCACGACCAAACAAAGTGCTCCAGAGGAAGCCCTCAGTGTGATGATTACAATTTTTTTTTATAGAAAAAAACATAATGGAACACATTAGTACTTTGTGAGATCAATATGATGAACCCCGTAAATATCTTGCTAAGATAACTCCTTAAAAAAAAAAGGTAAAATTGAGAGCATTAGTAAAATCTGATCAATATAAAGTAACCTGTTATGCGAAATATGCAGCAGAATTGAAGCTAATTACCTGTTACTCCAACACATAAAACACCAGTACCTGCAAAATATGATTATTTCAATATGAATCAAAAGTGTAAATTGATCAATGATAATGAAATCTGGGAATTAAACGTACTGTCAGGTGCATAATACGTATTATGGAATACACGGGACCATTGAACAAGAAATGCACGAAGCTATCTGCATAGGTTTGCAAGGCATATTGTATGCAGTGACGGATTCAGAAATATTTTTCAGGGTGGACGCACATATCTTAACAACTTAAAACTTTTAAATGGGACGGTATACATAAATTTCAGGGTGAACATTGTTCGTAAAATAAATAATTAATCAAAGAAAACTCATATTTCATGGTGGGCATGAAAAATTTTAGGTATAATATCTTTAAAATGTTATGTCACCTAGATGCCAAAAAAAGAACTTTTTTTATGTTCCTATGTTATGTTTGGACTACTAATGTTCATTTTCATCCACTGATATTCGTCCCACATAGGGATTCTTGGAACCAATAATTGACTGATACTTGTCTAGTCTCCTTCATATCTATGCTTGCCTTGTTAGTAGTGTGGCTGCAAATACATGGTAGTAGTTCTTTTTCATTCACAAGCTTCATGATAAACGAATCGGTGATTCAATTATTGTTGATATGACGTTCTGACCAATCGGTTACTTTGGTAACTATAATATTGAACTATATCAGGGGGCATCCTTTTTGCTATTGATTTTCAATCTGCGAGTACCGTAATGTACTGGTTTTACATGCAAGAGCAATATGGCAATTTATTTTCATTTGTTCGACATTGTCCTCCATATTTGGTTGTCTTTCAGTATATTTGTTATGCTTATGTTTTTAAGATAACTTTCTTTAACGCTTCCAAGGTTCTATAGCAATTGATTACTGCCAGTTAACTGCAACTCTACAAGTCGGTGCATTCGCAGGTAATGGGATTTTTTATGGGCCCTTTCTTTGAGTTCTCAAAAATTTATTCTAATTGTGAGAATTTGAATAAAAAATGTGGACATTTGCTTCATGGTTCCAGATTTTTACATTGCCGAGGGAGACATTGCTATAACTTAATCCCTCTGATTTCACTCGTATACATAAACAATTCTTGATTATATAAAACTCATTGATTGTAGGTAACCACGGTGGGAGAGGAGATGCTATATAATCCGTGCTTGTCGAAAGATGAAGTATCCTTTCTGGAACAATCCATCATACTGTGATCATATAAGACTAGTTTCAATTTCTCCTATGAGCGTGTTCGAATGATGTTATTTGTTGAATACCCTTTTTGCAGGAAACTTTCATAAGCATCATGCAAAGTAAGTTACTTAACTTGGCATCCACGGTTGGTTTCGGATTGCCTTTTCTAATTTCTCATTCGTTTTTGTTGGAGCAACAGATCTTAACTTGGCATACCCTAAGATGATTGATGTTGCAGTGCCAGCAAATTTGGTTTGTGGGTTGCAAGATTTGGAATCTAAAGCCAACCAAGACTTTACGGGACCGTCCATAGGTGCACAGATTTTATTTGTAGTATGATTCTGGATCACGATATCAGTGGATATACTAAATAAATGGCTTTGCATGCTACTTGACTGCAAAGAATCCACGTATAAATATATATACTATACATATATTGTTGTGAGCATGCAATCGTATCATCTTTCTCTTTGCATTTAAACTTTTGTTCTTTATGCATACCCTATAAGTAAACTGAACTATATAATTGAATGAACAAAACCGGAACCGAGCAGACCGGAAACGAACAAACCAAACCTGGTTTCATGTTAAAAGAACTAGAAAGCAACCACAAGATCAGACTAAAGTTAGGATTTCATGTACCTAATGTTTGGTTTTTGATAAAATATGCTGTCAATTTTTGAAAGGGATGTTCGTACATATCCTTCACCATGGACCTATCATATTTTGCAGTATTGATTTGATTCATAGATAAATTTTGAATTATTAAAGTTTATTCGACTCGACTCGTTTACTTGGTAAAAAAATGAGAATAAAACGCATTTTATGTTGGATTTTAAGCTTGATTATTATCTTTCAATTATTTAATCCGAACTAGATAATAAACTAATCGAATTTATATTATGTTCTAATCGAACCGAACACTTTAGTCTTACAAACAAAGATAATTGCGTTTATATCCTTGACCACCAAGTACTACAAAGTTTATTAGGCAGCTTCCTGAACCCGATCCTACCGCTCAAAACAAAAACCAACTTTTTTAATTAACTTTTTCAAATCTATTGATCATCGTAACAAGAACGAATTTTCCAATCTAAACTCTCCCAAAGAAAGAAGAAGAAGAAGAAGAAGAAAAGAGGAGAAATGAATGATGAAGGGAGAAACAGAGGTTCAGGCGTAGACCAGCAGCAGCAGAATCAATATGGAACGTTCCAAGGAGTGGCTAACTACCCTCCTCCACGCCCTCCACGGCCGAACCAGCACCATCAGCAACAGCAGCAGCACCGTGGGCAAATGGGGTTTCCTCAGCCTTCTCCACCTCCCTCTACCCCTCCTCAGTATTACCCCCGAGGCTATCAGGCCGTGCCGGTATAACATTTGACCAAAATGATCTTTAGGTGCAAGAACAAACTTCATTTCTTAGGTTTGCTTCATGGATATGTATAACTAGAATCACTGTAAGATTGGTCCATTGTGCGAGTTCAAGCTTGGTTTCTTTTATATAATTGTTGACAACAAGTTTACTTGATCTAAAATGATTGTTCACATTCAATTTGTCATTTATTTTAGGTTCGTTTTTCTACCAAATTTAAACCACGTGCTCATATACCACAAATAATACCTATGTAGTTTCAATTGTTATTTTTTATTATTTAAAGATGTACCCTATTTTTTATTTAGTCCCTTAACTTTGCATTTTACTCAATTTGGTCTTTTGACTACAATTGTTTGCAAATTCTTTCTTTTCATCAACTCCTCGACTCATTTATACTCTCATCAATATTTTACCCTCAAAATGCTTTCTTTAAAATATAATATTATGAATATATTTCATAAGTTTAGATTGTATTTGATATTATTAAATAACATTATAATATGAAAGAATATAATAGGTTAGATAAAGCCAAAAAACTGGAACAAATCATTCTCATAATACTATAAATAATTATAATAAAATTAGTATAGAAACTCGAATATCTCGACTCGAATTTCTTAAACTCGATTTGACTTGAAAAAATTTCAAGTTAAGTTTCAGTTGTAAAATACGACTCGTCAACTCGAATAACTCGAAATTTTTTGACTCGACTCGATCGAATGCTTAACCCTTACATATATGAGTGTCTTGGGGGTGAAGCAAAGTTCATTCGTACTATCGTTGTCTTTGTCCATAGGTTGATTGTTTAGAAATTGTGGTCAATTGGATTACGATACTTGGGGGTGAAGCCAGGTTCCTGCTATCAAAGTGTCCATTCATAATTTCATTATCAAGATTACAATTTCTTTGTCAACATGTGGAATCACTTCTATTATTGGTAAATTAAATTACTTATACTAATACCATAAAGAATTATAATAAACATATTAAAATTGACACTTTTATTTAATATATTTTTACATATCATTATTAAATAATATTTATTTAATATTTATAAGATTTTTTGTTCCGAGTTTTTCTAACACTTTATTTTTGTAGATTCAAAAAAGATCGACAAATAAAGAAAGAAATAAAATTAAAATTAACGATTTTAGTGGTTGAAGTGAATGTTAGTCTCTAGAGACCACGAGTTCGAGCATTTGTGTCTGTAGGATATACGCATTGTCAATGAATAAGAAATAATATGATCAGATATTACATTGCAATCATCATAGACTAGTAAAAAAATTAATATTATAATTTAATTATCAAAAACATAAATTATTCAAAACATAATATAGAACTCTAACTCACATGTAATATCACTTAAATTATTGCCGAAACAATTTTTCTCCTTAAAAGTGAGATTTTAAAAACTTATCATTTTTAATTATTTCTCTTTTCATAATTAGTTTTAAATTAAAAAGTAATGTAATTTAAAAAACCTCTCGTTTTGACAATTATCTTATAAGAGAAATAGTGAAAATTTAAAACTAATTATGAAGAGAGAAATAATTAAAAATGATATATTTTTAAAATCTCACTTTTAAGGAGAAAAATTGTTTCGACAATTATCTTATAAGAGAAATAGTGAAAAAATTATATTAAAAATAGATAATTAGATTTTTAAAATCTACCTCGATTTTTGAAAATTTTTCATTAATATTATTGTCATCAATTCTATTTATTTACACATATCAAACTTATAAAAAAAAGAGTAAAGTACACAAATGGTCCCCTAACTATAGAATATTATTTTATTAAATCATTTGATTATTAAAAGTTATAAAATGATCCTCCAACTATAGAGTGTTGCTTTGTTGAGTCCATCGACTATTAAAAGTTACAAAATGGTCACCCGACTATTCATTATGTTTCAAACGTGTCCTTTTCCGTTAAAAAATAACAATATTGTGAGCTGAACGTTAATCTGTTGAATGTGATATGATAAAATATGATCCAAAATCTCAAACGACTACCATATCTTATCATCATGTTAACGTTCAACTTAGATAATCGCCAATTTCTGACGAAAAATGATGAGTTTGGAACATAATGAATAGTCGAGTGATCATTTTGTAACTTTAATAGTCGAAGTACTCAACAAAGAAACATTCAAAAATTAAAGGATCATTTTGTAATTTTTAATAGTTAAGAGACTTAATAAAATACTATCCTGTAGTTGAGGGGCCATTTTTGCACTTTACCCAAAAATAAAAACTTTTTTATTAAACAAATTGACTATTGTACGAGGAGAAGATGTGATCACCACGCCTCATGCTTTTAAAACCGCTAGTTTTTCTTACACGTGTACCGATCACCGAAGCTGATTTTGATTTTTCACAATTTTAGTTTACTTTTTTGTGTGTAAAATATACCTAGTTAATTCTATTATTATTTCAATTATAAATGGATTATTTTTAAATATATATATATAATTTAATTATTCAATTAAATATTATTATTAATTATTGAATATTAAATATTAAATAAGATAATAATGTAATATGATATAATAACAGATTTATTTCCAAAATTTTTACGTTACATCAATTTGAAATTTTGAATTTGATTCTAAATAATTTAATAACTTTAACGATTTATACTAAAAATTAAATTTATTTTCTTAAAGTGCTTCTTATTCTTAAAAAATGTTATATTACATGTTTAATATAATAATAATAATTTGTTGTTGTTTTATTATATAATGTAACCACCTAATTACTTCTTTGGTTCGATAAACTTATTTGGATTTATAGTATAAAAAATAAATAAAATTGATAGAATTTCAAAATATGAATGGTTTAAATTATTAAATTATTTTAAATTAGGACTATAGAATGTATAAATTTGAAAGGTTAAAATTACTATTTTGTCATCCAAATTAGACGTTTATTTTAATTTTAATTTTAATTTTAATGGAAATTAAATTTTTAAATAATATTTTAATTAAGTTATTAATTTATAATTTTTAAAAAAAATATATTTGTAATTGAACTAATAATTGAGGGACACAGTTTATATTTTACCCTTTTTGCGTAAAGCTCTAATCTTTGTCTATTCTTGGTAATAATCTTTTAAGAAAACCCATCAACTTTAAGCAACAAATTTTGATCTTTACCATATCTACTGTCGTAACCGGTTTTCGTCCGGGCACGAAATATTAAATTTTGGCGAGAAAATTGATGTGAATAAATGGTTTTGAAAATAATTTGGGAGTCGCCATCGACCTTTTGGATCAGGTAGGTCGAATACCTAAAAATAATCTTTTAAAAGAGTTTTTAAGAAAACCATATTTAAAAGATGAACTGATCTGCGTTTTATAACCAAAAATTCGTTCTTTTTAATAATAAAAAGGGATTCGTGGTCGGTTACGTTTAGGGAAGGATTAGCACCCCTACAACGCCCAAAATTGGTACTTTTTAATTATAAATTGTCTCTTTTATTAAAATTTAAAAATTCAAAAATATATTTAATTTATAATCCTATTATTTTAAAATTATATAAAAAATATTTATTTATTTTTAATATCTGAAAAGAACTTCTAGGTGTCTTAAGACAGCTCTTTTCTTTGATATTGATAAATATTGATTTAAATAATATTGTTTACTTTTTAATTTTAAAATATCAGAATAAGACATCCAGTTGTATTAAGACTGTCCTTTTCTTCGATAATAATATTTAAAAAAACTATTCATTATATGTATATTTATGAATATATAAAAATATTTAACAATATAATAAAAATATCACTAAAACAATATATTTTAAGCATTAAAATGAAAACAAATAAAATAAATAACTAAATTATAATAAAAATAAAACTAAATCTAATTCCTAATTAATAATTAATTGAAATTATAGGGTTTAAATATTTTATTTTCTAATTTAATAATTTAGTGACCAAAATGAAATTATTTAAAATTTAAATTTTATAATAGAATAAATTAAAAATATGAACTAGGGATAAAAAAAATTATTTATTAAAATTAA